ATTAAAAAGGCAACATATAATAATCAATCATCTTTTACAGTTAGTTTCTGAAATAGCTTCCAACATAAGAAATACTAAAGGAAACAATGTTGGCCCTAACCAAGATTCGCATATGCCAAAAACTAATTATACAAAACCAAGTTCATCCAGGTCACATTAGCCTCTCTGTATTCTTCCAAAATGATCCAAAGCCACGTTTGACAATGAAAAGAAGTTGTCACAACGAAGCCATCCCTGTATCATGGGAGAAACCTCGAACAGGATGGACTAAACTGAATTTCGATGGATCCTGCAAAGGAAGATCATGTAAAGCGAGCATAGGAGGAGTTTTCAGGAACCACAAAGCAGAATTCCTACTTGGTTATGCAGAATCCATTGGGAGAAACATCAGCAGCACCATTGCCGAACTTGCTGCATTGCAGAGAGGCCTGGAACTGGTTCTGGAAAACGGGTGGAACAAAGTTTGGATCGAAGGAGATTCCAAGACATTGCTTGACATAATTGTGGAAAGGAGAGAGGTGAGGAGTAAAGAGGTGGATAGACATTTGAGGATCATAAATTTGATGATACCAGAGGTGGATAATTGTATTGTAAGTCATGTTTATAGGGAAGGGAATAGAGCTGCTGATAAATTTGCAGAGTTAGGACACCGGTTGGCGAAGCCTCAAATTTGGAGGGATGTTCCTCCAAATCAAGTCTTGAATATTGTACATGAAGATGCACAAGGTAAGATTTTTCTTAGAAGGAGATAAAATTCTTATTTAAAAAAAAAAAAATCATATGTAAATACACATGTATTATATTGTTTTAATTCTTTTTTTCTTTATGTATAATATTTTATAATAATTAAAAAAAAATTAAATAAAAATATATTCAATTCAAATTTATAAGTAATACTTAAATATTAATAATAATACAATCAATATTTTAACAAAAAAAAAAAAGTAACAAAACAAATCTCGTAATAAAAATATAAACAAAACATATAACTCGACTTAAATTTATATTCTGATAAAGACGTGAAAATAAGTCAATGAATAATTAATATAAAAGTTATTAGACAATTGACTTAGAAATTTTTATAAACTTAAAATTTTGGTCAATTAATTGCAATAGATTATTTATGTAAAATATTAAGTAATGTACTTGTATATATATATGTATATATATTCTTATTTTTACTTTTTATAAGAAAAATTTATTTATTATATTTGTTACATTTTTAATTCTATGCAACTAACTTACTTTTTTTTTGTACTTTTAAAAAAATCAATAATATATAATAAAACAATATAAAATAATCAAATAGTTATAATAAATATATATACATTTATTATTTTTATTAGAAGCAACTATTTATTTTTTTTACTATCTAAAAGGTATAATTATTTCATTTTAAATTAAAATCTATTTATAAAGCACTCCTTGTTGTTCTAAAATTAATAATCAAAGATTACCAAAATTAAATAATTAGTCAATTGAAGAGAAGATGGGAGATTAAGATAGAAAGTTTAATTTTTTCTAGTAAAATATATATATATATATTATATGATTAGATAATACATATATATATATATATATCAGTTATAATATTACTTCTCGAAGAGAAAAATACATGGAGCAATAAGCCTTCAAGAGGAATAATGTAATGGGATGTTGTGGAAAAAGCAGAACAAGTGATTATTGATTGATGACAGAATCAAATGCAGTACAACATGCACAAACTATATATACACACACACACATATATATATATATATGTATAGTACAAGAATCCAGTACACACTTCAAACAATTCAATGCATTACAACCACCAACGACCTCAAAGTACTTCTTGTTATCCAATATCATATTCTATGCTAGTACACCCAAATTTCAAAAAGAAAGTTAGACATGTACTGCAATTTTGCAATACACCCATATGCATATATGTATATATTTATAGAAAGAAAACATATACACCATGATATACATATGGTGGAGAGATTCTAGATTGGAGAAACATCATTGAGTGCAGCGTTGATGAGTTATTTTTGCCTTTCAGAGTTTTGTCATGGATCTTACCAGCGCTGCACTCAATTATGTTTTTCACTCTTTAGAGTTATACAATATATACATATACATATATATATATATATATTTTGCTGGTTATTAGGGTTATGCATTATGCAGTTGGAGGCCAAAAGATTGACCCAAATCGAGGCATTCGATCCAAACTAAAATTTGTTCAGGCAAAGTTTGGATCGTTCCTCAATCCAGAAGGGGATGGACAAAGAAGACTGGTTTTGATAGGCCTACATTATTTTTAATAATTTATTATATAATTTAAATTAGATTATGTATTATATTATATAAATATATAGATATGTAATTGTATATATGATATATAATTATTAAATTTTTAATTAAAATAGAAAAAGAATTGATTCAACTAGTTCTGCATTGCAGACTATATGACTATTATTTTCCAGCTTGGTTTTTAATTATATATGTTTATATACATATCCTTACATATATAAACTGAAAAGCTTGGTTTTCAATAATCTAAAGTACACACTACTTCTCATAAGAAATAGTATATGCAGCAAATATAATATATATATATATATATACGCACCGCAGAAATTGAATTAGAAGAGTTATTTTTGCAGGATTACTTTGTATTCTATATTCCAAGTTGGTCGTATAGTATCTTCTAAGTCGATTGATATTGCAGAAGCCATAGCTAGCTATTATTCACTATTGTTATCTTCTATTCTGACATCATTTCATTACACCACATATATATATATATTATGTAGAGTTTATATATATATATATACATGCATGCATTTAGTCTAAAGTTCATTTTTTGAAAAGAAAAAAAAAAAGAACCCACTGCAAAAATCTGCAAAAAAAAAAAACCCTTGATTTCTGGATATCTGAAGTTTCATGCATAAATCTGCATATCTACTCTGCAATTAGAAAAAATAAGCATAAATCTAATATGAATAAATTAATGAACAGAAGGAAAGCGTTCGGTGATGATACAGAAAAAGTTGTGAGTATAAAATATGTTTTTGTTAATTATTGCCAAACTGCATGCTTCAAAAATACAAAAAAGATTCTTTTAACCAAGACAAGAAGCTAAGCAGAAATCGTGTCAATCGATTTGAGTTTGCATCTGGAAGAATTTGAGACCAAACAGACCTCTTTTTCTATACAAAATTACCCAAATAGCCACTTCACTTCACTGCACCACCACATAAATACACTCTCAAAACCCGCTTCTTTTCTTCTCTATCCCTCTCCTCTTTCGGTTACTAACCGAAAGACGTTGCTTTTTTGATTACCCACATCAGAAGTCTGCAAATTTTTCTATTTTAGTTTCTGGGAAGAACGAAATTTTCCTGGGAAACAAACAGGGAGGAATGCAGGGGGAGGAACCGCTTGAGGACGATTTGCGCTGCAAGCGCACTGATGGTCGCCAATGGCGGTGTAATCGGCGGGTTATGGATGGGAAGAAGCTTTGCGAGCTTCATCACTTGCAAGGCCGACATAGACAGGTTAGAGAAAAGGTGCCGGAGTCTCTGAAGATGGTGAGGAAAAATAGGAGAATGCCGAATGTGGAGTCTGTGGGTGAGATCAATGGTGAAACTAGGGCACAGAGAGCGAGTAGTAGGCTGGTGAGATTGGCGAAGTCGGTGAAACGCAAGCGAGTGATTGGGGAATCTGAGGCGCTGGATGAGGCAGTAAGGAAGATGAAGCTGAAGAGAGGGGATTTGCAGTTGGAGTTAATAAGGATGGTGTTGAAGAGAGAAGTAGAGAAGAGAAAAAAGCTCAAGGGAAAGAAAAAGAAGAAGAAGAAGAAGCAGAGTAACAGCAATGAGGATGGTGATGGCTGTGAGGAAGAGTTAACAAGAGTCTTGCCTAATGGAGTAATGGCAATTTCTTCTTCATCTCCACATTTTGGCAATGCAGGTTCTTCTTGTGACATCAAAATTGGGGCTGAACCAGTTGCAGTAAGAAGGAGATGTTTTAGGTCTAAAAACATTGAGCCATCCCCTGTTGGCACATTGCAGGTAGTATTTTAATGTCATCTTGCATAGGTTCTCTGTCATACTTGTATGTTTCCTGTATTGATTCACCTGTTGGCTATATTGATGTTTATTTTAACGTTAAAGGTGGTGCCTTTCAAGGGCAATGCGATGGGTTTGAAGAGAGGGAAGAAGAGATGCCATTGGTGTGGAAAGAAAAGCTTTAAAAATTTGATCAGCTGTTCAAACTGTGGACAACACTTCTTTTGCATCGACTGCACGAAAGAACAGTGAGCATTCTGCATTTTCTTATCTTGATTTTGGTCTTGGTTTGATTAAATTAGGATGGCTGTTATGGTTGAAACTTGGTGGTTTAGCATTTGACCCTGTCATGTGCTGGAAATTTTCAATTTTACAAATGGCATTTTAGCATTTGAATGCATCCTTAAGTAGTGTAGCAATTAATTTTACTTGCAACATCATGGACTTTCAAAATGGAAGTCTTTAAACTAATTTTGCAATGTAGGATGTTGAGAATTATGCAAATTGTGGTCCTTGGAGAAAAAGATAATCTGAATTGTGACTAGATATAATTAAAGTTAAAGATCAACATTTCAAATATAGCTATATTCCTGTAATCCATGTGATACAGGTGTCAATTCCAGGATAAAGAAAATCAGTTAGAAACAAGAAGTCAATGGGATTCTAATGTGATCAAGGACCATTGCTGCTTTTATCAATTTTTATCTCTTACCAATAACCTTCTATGAAGAACCTTTTGCATCCATCAGAGAAACCGGTGTTAGTTTATTTGGGCTTCTAATGATGGTTTCCATAAAAAGGAATTCATGTGAGGTATTCTAATGCTTTTATTGTTAAGTGATTGCTGACAATTTTTATGCTCCATACCTCCATCGCTTAAGCTTAGTCATGCTTTGGAAGAGTTATATTGAGTAATGATTCTTAGCCTATAAAAATCATTTCCAAAGAACATTTTACATCAATTGTTGTGAGATAATTCTTGGCTCAAAAATGAATCAGGCATTTCCATACACAAGAAGAAATCAAAATCACATGTCCGGTATGTCGTGGAACTTGTGGCTGCAAGTCCTGCACTGTCATTAAATGTGGAGGCACAGAAAACAAGGTTTGTTTTGACATGTAGTGTGCTTAAACTCCGAATCCTGCATACTTGTTTTCAATATTCAATTTTGATCCCTCATCTTACTTACAAACCATGTCTCAGAACCTTCTAGGGGACAAAAGTAAAGTCGATCGAGTTTTACATCTTCATTATTTAATTTGCATGCTTCTTCCTGTGCTGAAACAAATAAACCAAGACCGCAGTGTAGAGCTAGAAATGGAGGCAAAAATAAAAGGTAGTGGTGATGATTGTTCTTGATTATCAGTGAATAATTCTCAGCGCAGCACATGCAAGACTTCCATACACAAAGATCTTTTTCTGATGTCTTTAGATATCTAACAGGTCAAAAACCCTGCAAAGGTCAGATCTTGACAGTTGAATTTAGATGCAATAAGCAACACTGCTGGTATGTTTCCTGCTTCTTCAAAGTTTTACATTTAATTAAATTTCTGTAATTCTCATGTTGCTCTCTGACGGATTGCATGACTGTGGGAGCAGCAGTAACTGCAAGACTTCCATATTGGATTTGCATAGAAGTTGCCAAAATTGTTCCTATAATTTGTGTTTAAGTTGTTGCCGGGATATTTTTCAAAAGAGCTTATGTGGAATTACGGGGGCACTTGACTGCAAAAGCCCAAATAGAAGGAATGGTTGTAGGCCAATGCTACTGTGCTTAGAGAAGCAATCTATGAGCACATCCAATCATGGCCAGGAAAGTACATATGTTTCTTCTTCTGCATCACTAACTAGTTTAAGAGTTCCTGATGGTGATGCTAGTATATCATGCCCTCCAAAGGAATTTGGTGGTTGTGGTGATGGGCTCCTCGCTTTGGGATGTGTTTTCCCCTCAAGTTGGACTGAAAAACTAGAAATAAGTGCTGAGGAAATAGTTGGAAGCTATGAATTGCCAGAAGCATTAGATACTTCCTCATCCTGCTCGCTATGTTTTGGAATGGATAATGAAGCTGATGGGATCAAGCAGTTAAGAGAAGCAGCAAACAGAGAAAATTCAAATGATAACTTTTTGTATTATCCTACAATTCTTGATATGCGAAATGATAATGTGGAACATTTCCAGAAGCACTGGAGTCAAGGTCATCCTGTAATAGTTCAAAATGTGCTTCGGTGCTCCCCAAATCTGAGCTGGGATCCAATAACTATGTTTTGTACCTATCTTAAGAACAATGCCAAATCTCAAAATGATGAAACACATAAAGCAGACAGTTGCCTGGACTGGTTTGAGGTTAGTTCTTGACACTAGATTCTAATCAATCTGCATTTCTCAAACTATTGTAGGAGGCAGGGTTACACCACCTATATAATTAGACAGGTTGATTTAATCACAGAGCTGAACTTTGTTTTTGGCAATTGTAGTTTTGATACTTTTCCATGCCAGCCAACTTCCTATGCCTTTCCCTCTGATCTTGAGCTCTGTGTACCTTCCTTTTCTGACAGGAAGCTTACTGTTGTTTGTTTTCCCTAGAACTTGAAAATTATATAGCTCTTAAAACATTTTTTAAATATGGCAGGTGGAAATTGGTATTAACCAATTATTTTTGGGGTCTTTGAGAGGGCATACTGAAACTAATATGTGCCACGAGAAGCTGAAACTGAAGGGTTGGATTTCTTCTCGTTTATTTCAAGAACAGTTTCCAGCTCATTATGCTGAAATAATTAATGCTCTACCACTTCCGGATTACATGGACCCAAAATCTGGCCTGTTAAATATTGCAGCTAGATTACCTGAGGAAATTCCAAAGCCTGACTTAGGTCCATGGATATATATCTCATATGTTAGCGGTGATGAACTTGTGCAGGCAGATTCTGTGACAAAATTGTCTTTTTACTTTTTTGATATGGTACGTGTTATTGGATCTCTTATATGTTGGAAGTTGCTTTTTGTTTTTTTTGACATATAGTGATCAAACCAGCTTTAGTTGAGAGCACAAATTGTTATGGGAAATAAGGACCTCAAGTTTTTTTTTTTCTATTTAAACTTTCAGCAGTTGGTTGTATTTATAATTACTATATTATTTTTTAATCCCAGGTTAACATTTTGGCACATACAACAGATGCTCCTGCATCCACAAGGCAGATATGTAATATACGGAAATTAATGGAGGAGAAAAAGGCTCATGCTCAGGAGTATACCAAGATTGCTCCTGGCCAGGAAATGACTAACCAAGTGAAAAGAAGTTCAGTGTCGAATGGTGAAGGGGAAAACATAGAATTGCATAATATGGTACGAAACGAAATGAACACATGGGACATGGTCACGGGAGCATCTCATTTACTTGCTGCCACAAATGGAGCATGTGAACTAAATCACAAAGATAGAGATGCTCCCCATATGAGAGAAAGTGAATCCGAGACTGATACTGATTATGATTCTGAAGCCTCAGGACCTAGTCCTCGGACTATTCAGCACTCAAAAAGATCAGAAGACAAGGAGTTTTATTTGCATCGCACAGCTTCCAGCAATATCAGACAGGAAAACTTGGCTGAGTCTTGTGGTGCCCAATGGGATGTCTTCCGCAGACAAGATGTTCCAAAGCTTTTAGAGTATCTCAGAAAGCATTCTTATGAATTCAGTCATTCATATGGCTTTCAAAAGCATGTAAGTCCTAAATCATGACTTAGCAGCTAGGTGGAGGACAGTGAATCTTAGCATATTTGTAACTTTGCCTGCAGGTGGTTCACCCAATTCTCGATAAGAATTTCTTTCTTGATACGACACACAAAATGAAGCTTAAGGAGGAGTTTGGTACGTGTAACTTCCATTTGTTTTTCTTTATATAATCATCAGTAGACAATTAACTATCTACTAATCATTACTTCCAGAAATTGAGCCCTGGACTTTTGAGCAACATGTTGGAGAAGCAGTCATCATTCCGGCTGGGTGTCCATACCAGATAAGGAAACTAAAGGTACTGTATTCAACATGACCGAGCATTATAATTGCAGAGGTCTTGTGTAAAATATTTATGAAAATCTTTATTTCTTCTTGACTTGATTTTTGCACAAAATTTTACTTATTGTATTGGTTGGTTATATGACATGCAGTCCTGCGTTAACATAGTTTTGGACTTTGCCTCACCTGAAAATGCTACCGAGTGCATCCAATTAACTGATGAACTCCGTTTGCTTCCGGAAGACCACAGAGCCAAATCGGATAAATTTCAGGTAATCTTTATGGGAAAGTTAAAGAAATATTGGATTTTGACTTTCCTGAAAAACTGAAGAATATTATTTATATTACTTTTTATTTCCAAAAAACAGGTTAAGAAAATGGCTCTACATAACATTGATGCGGCAATCAAGGAAATTCGGGAACTTACACGTGCAGACTAAAGTACCTACGTATTATTGGCATCTAATTTGTCTAGCTCCACAGTGACACCATCAAGCAATAGAAAATATTAACTTTCTTGATGTAATTGCGCTGTTTTTAGAGACGGGTGCCTCTAACATAGGAACTCTATTTGTTAGTGGTGCCGCAAAAATCTAACTTTATTTTCCTTGGTATTTGGAACAATTATCCAAGACGAGAAAACCTCATGTATATAAATTGGCCAAGAGGAAAGATAAAGAGAATGTATACGTTGCGTTGCAATTCCACACAAGGTACGAACTAACGTATTGAGTATTTGCTCTGTAAGAATATAAAGCCTTTGTATGACTTGAATTTTAATGACAGAAACACATGCACATAAAAAACTTGGACGCATGGATATATTAAATTTCCCAGCTTGAATGTTATGCAGCAAGTGTTTTATGCCTGTAGTAAAAGTGCTGTAACGGGTTGAGGTAGTCCTATGTAAAGTTTATGGAGGAATATCAAAAATTCATGCTTGAACATATATGGTAGGTCCAGCAGTATAGGTGAGAGTCTGTTTAGTGATTGATCCTGAAGTTTTATAGTTTGTGCAGATTGTTTAGAATATGCTTGAAATACCAAAGCTTCTACCATCACATGATGAGAATGTGGCTTTAGTGTTTGTAAATAATTGGCGGATGATGTTAAATTTTCATTGTTCCGACAGCAGAAGTAAGTGTTTTTCAATCCATTGTTGTTTTCAGAGTTCTTTGTTGACCCATCTCCTTGGTCTCGTACAACCTCGGAGGCAATTTAGCAGAGCATTAGATTGTTCATGCATTCTCATTATATTGTTGTCTCTCCTCTCTCTGTATAAAAAATTGTAGATTTGATACTCAGTACAAGGTTATATTAAGATGAATATGTAAAAAAAATATGAAAATTGTAACATCCCTGCAGAAAATCGAAACCATTCAATTCACGCAAAATTACAAATGATCCTTTGTGTGCCAAACTTTGGAAAATCAATAAACAAAAATTTTAAAAAAATAATAATAAATATCAACACTTTATTGCTCTATTTCCTTTCCTCTTTGCTTCAAATGTTTTGCCCCCGCTCTTGGGGGGGCTGAGATATGACAGTAATGAACGATCAAAAATGACATAATAATAGATACACAATGGACTAAATCTCACGTTAGAAAATCTCAAAATCCCAAGTAAAAGAAAAAAAAAAACAAAAAAACAAAAGATATGTTATTCCTTATGTTCTAGGATCTTATCAATTGTCAAAATTGTTTCACAAAACAGCACCGGACAGGAACTTTGTAACTACCACTTGCCAAAATTGTTTCATAGCAACGCCAACACACAGTAAGATCAGGAAGCTTCTTATGGAGCCATCAGTCCATCAATGGTGTAGGATAACGATTTTGCCCAATCAGCCTTCAATAGCAGTGTCTGTAGCGTATGCATCACATTGTATCCAGGATCAAGCTTTCGCTGCCAACCCTACAACATCCAGGAAAATCATAATCACTCGGCAATTGTCACAATTACTATCTCCACTTAGGTTCAACAACTATGCCAGATATATTTCATTTAGAATACGACAATTATGTCAGATTACCTCTAAGTGGGCGAAAGGGTCCACATAACAAAACATGAAAAGAGAAAAATGAGAATTATGTTAAATGAACAAGAGAAGGAAGAAATTACCTCGAGAACCAACGTTGTAACCATTACAGTGCATACGTTGCCATCAATGTTAACCTTGTGCCTTCTGACTTTCTCAAGTAATTCCTGCATGCACTCAGCTGGATGGACTAGATCACCCTCCGGAGTACCCCAGAAAGTGAAAGCTTCTTCTACTTCCTGTATGAACCATATAATGGTTACAAAAATGTGAAAAACTTAATGATGAATGTTGAATGCTGTATAAATTTCATCCAGCAGGGAATCCTCAATTAAAATTCACAGCAGATGCATCTATCTACCAAAATCTCAAACGAAAGAGAGTAAAATATGATCTTGTTTGGAAAGAATGGGTGCCAATGCATCTTGCAATAAAGAGTAGACACTTCAATAAATAAAAGATAAAAAGGAGAGAGACAATAGGATCGGTAGCTCTTCTGGAAAAGAAAGGACTCACCTCCTTCATGCTTAACTAAAAACATGATGGTTATAAAACTGCATGACAAATTTTTATCTTTGAATACAAACTAAATTCAAGAAGGTTTTGATTCAATATGTAGGAAGCAATTGCTGGATAGACAATAAAAAAGGAGGTCCATATTTACAAATGAGAAAATAAAATGTGCTGGCAGATTGAAAAGACCTTGCTGTATCTGGAGAACACAAAGCAAATGTGACAAGTTTCAAATTACTTGCAAGGCTCAGACGGAAATATCTTGTCAAGATCCAGAACAAACAAAAAGACAAGGTTTCACAGGCCACGTATAATGAGAAACAATCCCAACAAAAGAGGTATGTGGCCAATGCATCACCTCAATAAAAGCCGTTGGATTTGGACATGATTGTCGCTTTGATAATCTTAGAGTGGATTCTGCAGCAGTGCGGCCATCCCGACAGGCAACTGCCTTAAAAAATTCCAGCAAATTTACTCGATCACTGTTTGAAAGTTCAGCTGTCATGCCTACATCAAGGAATATGACATGAGGCTTTGACTTAAAGAGCCGTTTCCGAGAAGACTTGTTCTGACACACCCGGACGAGAATATTTCCAGGATGCATGTCAGCATGGATAAAGTTATCAACCTGAAAGAAGAAATAGAGTCTTTGAAACCGAAACTTTATCACACTTTATTTTCAGAAATCTAAAAAATCTAATAAACTTTCAACTATAATTAGCAAATAGCAACTAAAATAAACTTAATAACATAGAAATCAAGCATCATGGTCCAGGAAGCATGTGCACAAAGAGCAGTCATAGCAATGCAAATTATTGAAAGAAGAAACCAAAAAAGCAAATGGAATAAATCTCAGCTCCATCTCATCAAATCAACACAGTTCTGTCTCTTTTCTTTTAAAACTTCCCTTTTTTTAATAGACATGTAGCCCTTCTTCCAACTGTTAAAAAAGATGATAATACTTTGAGGCAAAATATTACCAGCTTAACAAGATTACCATACTTTACCCCAAGTCTCTACCATCAGCAAATTAACAAGTAAAGAAATTCCTTACATGTCCCGAGGACTCACAAATGTTTATATAACATAAATGTTCCAACTTATTCCAGCACAGAGAAGAAATACCATTGTGATCAATCAATAATGGTTCAAGTCGATCTTTTTTTTTAAATAACATATGGTTCAAGTAGATAACTTCTACTGTGTTTACGTAGATAGGAATCCCAAGTCATGCTACCTAAATTTACCGAAGAATGTCAGTTTTCCATACAGTAGCCAGAAGTTATGGAGTTTCAGGTAAAGTAAAATTTTAGAAGGCAAATTTTACCTTCTCATTACTGCTGTTAATCTAAAACAGTGTGCATAGAAAATCTTCTTCTATTCCATTTCATTAATTCTCATCATCTTTCAATAGGATAAAAAATAAAATTAGTAATGGAAAAGAACGGATAAAGCATCTTTCCTTTTTTTCTTAAAACTTGTAATTTTTTTATTCCTTCAAATTGGAAAAAAAAGGAAAATGAAATGATTTAAACTTTTAATTCTAGTTTAGCCGACGAGTCCTATCA